ACAAAAACCCTCGAAATCCTCTCTTTTCTGCCCAGCGAACTCGCTTCTGCGAGCCTTTAACCGCACCTGCGGTAAAAGCATTACAGGTACAAAAGTCACTTATGAAGGCTGGGTCCGCATCTGCAGCAATGGGGCCGCACCTGCGTGAGCGTGCCTGCGGATACCTGTCTGCATCTGCGGTCCTTCACCGCATCTTCGGTTCCTTAGGCGCATCTGTGGGCATCACAGATGCGATACTTCCCTCGTAGCTGCGATCCCTGGTCAAGCCTTCAAACTCCGCATCTGCGCACTTCACTCCACACGTGCGATCCTGCACCTGCGGTCTCCCATCGCAGGTGCGAAAACACCAGAAGTCTGATCACTTCAGCGACAACACAACTTCAATTTTTTTGATCCGTCAAGCACCCGAAACTCACCCGAGGCCCCCAAGACCTCAACCAAACATACCAACCAATCCTAAAACACCATACGAACTTAGTCGAGCCCTTAAATCACATCAAACATCGGTAAAGTCACAAATCACCCTCTAACTCAAACTTAAAGAACTTGAAACTTCAAAATTCTACAACTGATGCCGAAACCTATTAAACCACGTCCGAATGACCTCAAATTTTGCACACAAGTCATATTCAACATTGCAGACCTATTCCAACTTCCAGAATCGGATTTCGACCCCGATATCAAAAATTCCACTACCGATTAAAATCTCCAAAAATTCGACTTTTACCATTTCAATCCTAAATGAGCTATGGACCTCCAAACACAATCCGGACACACCCCTAAGCTCAAAATAACCCAACAAAGCTAAGGAAATCGACGAAACTCCATTACGGAGTCGTCTTCATACAGTTCCAACTACGGTCCAAATCCTAAGGCTTAAACTTCCGTTTAGGAACTAAGTGTCTCAAAACACTCAAAAAACCAAAACGAAACCTCCCCGCAAGTCACAATAGTAGAAAAAATATGGGGGAGAAGTTAATAGGATATCAGAGCTATAACTCTCAAAACGACCGACCGAGTTTGATGATATAGCTTTGATTGATGAGGCGCAAGGCAGCGTTAATGAAAGACTGGAGGTTTCGAGCTAGGCCCTGGAGTCCAAAGGTTTCAAGTTGAGTATGACTAAGACGGAATATCTGGAGTGTAAGTTCAACAACGTGACGAGGCATTAATGAGAGACAAGAGGTTTCGAGCCAAGCCCTGGAGTCCAAAGGTTTCAAGTTGAGTAGGACTAAGATGGAATATCTGGAGTGTAAGTTCAGCAACGTGACGGGGGAAGCGGACATGGTAGTGAGGCTCGACTCACAAATCATCCCTAAGAGAGAAAGTTTCAAGTACCTAGGGTCAATCATCTAGGGAGATGGGGAAATCGACGAGGATTACACGCATTGTATTGGGGTGGGTGGATGAAATGGCGGTTAGCGTCTGGAGTCTTGTGTGACAAGAAGGTGCTACCGACACTCAAAGGTAAGTTTTATAGAGCAGTGGTTAGACTGGCTATGTTGTATGGGGTTGAGTTTTGGCCAGTGAAGAATTCACATATCCAGAAGATGAAATTAGCCGAAATGAGGATGTTGAGATAGATGTGCGGGCATACTAAACTAGATAAGATAAAGAATGAAGATATTCGGAAGAGGGTGGGCGTTGCTACCGTGGACGACAAGATGCGGGAAGCGAAGCTTAGGTGGTTCCGGCACGTGCGGAGGAGAACCATAGATACCCCGTTTAGGAAGTGTGAGCAGTTGGCTTTGGCAGGTACGAGAAGAGGTAGAGGGCGGCCTAAGAAGTATTGGGGCGATGTGATCAGGCAGGACATGACGCGACTTTAGATTTTCGAGGACATGGCTATTGGTAGGAACATATGGAGGTCGAGCATTAGGGTTGTAGGCTAGAGGGTAGTCGAGAGTTTTTCCCTCTTTGTACCGGGTAGCTTGATAGAGTTTTGTCCAGGTCTGTTAGCGGTCTATGTTGTGTTCACATTATTTTGTTGTGTTTGCATAGTTTTGTGGTATTGCCCTTTTACTTATTTGTTGTCTCTTACGATGCTGTTATTATCTTTCTGGCTTCTTTTGTTGTTACAAACCTTTTTTTTGTTTCTTTTATGATATTATTGTCTCTTCTGTTTGAGCCGAGGGTCTCCCAAATATAGCCTCTCTATCCTTCTGGGGTAGAGGTAAGGTCTGCGTATACTCTACTCTCCCTAGACCCACTAGTGAGATTTTTACTGGGTATATATATATATATATGTGTGTGTGTGTGTGCGCGCGCGCGCGCGCGTGTGTATGTGCATGTGTGTGTGTGTGTGAGAGAGAGAGACATTTCTGGTTGGGTCCCTAAAGCACAAATCTTCTTTTAATCTCCATACCATCTAAAGAGTGAGGCTTTGAGTGCTTAGAAGACTAACCAGAGAATACTCGCCGGAGTAGAAAGTCGATTTCGATGACGATTTCGCAACAATGGCCGGAGGTATATACGATCTTTATTTCTGTTGCGCTCTGCTCTAACAATAAATTCTACCAAACTTAAGTGAAATTAGAAAAAAATATCAAGAAAAAACATGAAAATTAGCACATCATCAACTAAGCTAACCGCTCGAAGTAGCCCAATCCAGGTAACAATAAAAAAATATATTTGAGAGAAATAAAAAAGAGAAATATTGATAAAGAAATTACGAAAATGTTACCCTAAATAATAGAACTATACATGATTAGAGAGAAAAGTATGAATTTATGTGAATTATTTCCCTCCACATAATCCGTCACTATTTAGAGATCATACAGTTGTTCATATATAGAAGAGTATGCGTCTTTTGAAGTGTATTATCGTATAAAAGAAAATTTCCACTTTTTTTTCATCTGTTTATCTTTTTGCAACTGATAAACAGGGAAGGGAAAGTTCACCTTTTCAAAAACAAATTTCACTTTTGACTTTTGAGAGGGAAAAGCATAGTCCAGTGACGTGACAATTTACGAGGTGTTTTTTAAGAAAGGACTACTATTATTGCTCTTTTGTCGTTCAAATATTAGTAGCTGTTTTCCTAGATATTATATTACAGATTTGTGTTCTATTTTTCCTTGGATATGAAACACATTACTGTATCATTACGGCTTACGTAGTTTGTCTAGTTGTCAAAGACATGTCACTATTTTGCTTCATGTGCCATCTATTTAATAGGATACTAGACGCTTAAGTTGGTCTACTTTTATCTTTAAAGTAATGGGTCGTTTGGTTGGACGAATTAAGAAAACACAATTTCAGCATCAAATTTCGTATAAAATATGGTTGGAGATATTAGGAAAATAGATTCTCTGTACTATTTTGCTCATATATGCAAAATTAATTTTTTCGTAATTAATATAGTAATATTTGATTGGTGGTAATAAATAATACCCATGTTAAATTGTGAGAAGTATATTTTATGCAAGACAAAATATGAGATAAATATATATATATACTATAATAATAAAAGTATTTAAAGACTAAAATATCCTTAAAGTAAATAACTTTTACATAATTTTATTGCATTATTATTCACTGCACATATATAATTTATATATTCTCATAACTATTTCTTTGTTATTATTCACTACGTATATATCTTTGCATTATAATTCTCATATAGCTACTCCTCCATATGAACCAAACATGTCTACAATAACAACATACCCAATATAATTTCACAAGTGGAATCTGAACAGGAGCGGCTTAACGAAGTTAATGGCCTAAAGCCAAACTATATTACGAGGCCTCTTAAAACTTATTCCACAAAATTCATGCAATATTGAGATACAAAAGAGCTTCCATTCTAATCAATGGATCAATCAAACTGAGTAAGTAGCTAAATCAAAGAAACTGAGCTGAAATAGAAAAAGTGAAATCTCAAAAACATAAAAGAAAGGAGGAAAAATTAGAAATGAAGAGGAACATAAATATAGTATAACTAACAAGACGAAACTTTACCAGTGTTTACTCACTCATCTATCATTCTTAACCAAATAAAAAAAAATTTTGGCCTCTCAAAAATAATTGCATAATATTTATAATATATCCCTATAATATTTTGGGGCCCTCTAGAATTTGGGGCCTAAGGCAATGGCTTGACCAGCCTTACCCCCCAGCCGGTCTTGGGTCTAAAAAGAGTAGTGTGTACGCAAAAGGATAAATAGACTGTTTTCGATAAATCAAACAGCCTGAATGTCTTAATGACATAACTGTGAGAAATAATTCTTTGCCATGATCTTATCATCAATTAACTATTTGCCATTTGAAGTATATAAAATAAATATATATACTAGAAATACTTCAAATACAGTACATATCCGAACCTAGTAACCTTAAAAATGTAGATATCAAGTGCTTTGATAATAACTTAATGAAGACCAAACATAAAAGGGAACATTTGTTTATAGAAACTGTGGACTGCGGAGGCAAGCATGTCATATTTTTGTTAAAGTAAAATACTAATCCTTTATTTTGGTCCGCTTCAAAAAAAATAATTCCTTTCTAAATTTGGTCACAATTTAACTTAAAGTTACAATTTTACCATTAATAAGAAGCTTTTATAACCACAAATTTATACTCTACATATTTTTTTTACTTGTTTTGGATCACAAATTTAAAAAATTTTCATTTTTTCTTAGACTCTGTGCAGGTTCACGGGGGAGTAATAAAGCTAAAGCCAAATAATCAATCCTAAATATGACTGCTGACCGAGAATCTAGCAACCCAAGACAGACCAAAATATCAGACAAAATCCAACAGCTAAGCAAACACCATATAAGGTTGAAACTAAGTTCGGCTTTTAACAATCTTCTGCTCTGACTATTAACTGATCAACTAGTAAAATCCAATGTTTAATTTTTCAGTGTCTTTATTTGGTTGCTTGTTCTTGATACTCTGAACTGCTACCTACTACTAGCAAAGACAAAGAAGCTAAAAAGCAAGTCAACTATCTATGACTATGGCTCTGTTTCTTCACATAAAAGGTACAAAAAAAAACTTCATTTCATAAGTACCATAGAAAATCAAGAAAGCAATAAAACCCCATTTTGCCCTCATGTCCTTTTATTTCTAACTTTCTTGTCATAATTTCTTTTCATATAGCCAAGTGGGGTGAAACAATTACAGCTCAGTTCAGTTGAAAGTTTCATTTTTTTATCTCCAAATTTGTTGTTGTCATATTTTGATGTACAGAAAGAGGAAGATTCTTGGTTTCACATTAGATCTGGCTTCACGGGCCTTGTGGGGTTTGTATTGAAGTAGCAAACTGGAGTTATCTGTGTGCATATAATGATGAAAACTTGAGTTTTTGCTATTTGTCTTGTAGCTAGTGGAGCTAAAAGTTGCATCTTTGTGGTGTTCTTGCTCTAATGGGGATTTGTCTGAGCTACCAAATCAAGACTGAGACCACATTTTATACTGCTTCTTCTGGTATAAGTTCACTATCTTTTTGTATGTAATTTATACTTGAAAGTTCTTTGCTTTCTTGGCTTCATTTTAAGTACTCTTTTGGCATTGGCAAGTTGTTTCTGATCTCCATTTTATTCTCTCTTTTTTTGTTGATAATTTGTAAAGCTCTAGTACTGTTACCAATTTATCCTACAGATGCAAAGAGAATGAGTGATTAGGCGAGTTAAAGTCTTTGCTTGTTTCAAAAATCAAAGAATTCTAAAAGGGAAAAAGGAAAGAAAGACTAAGAGAAAGAAAAAGGATACTTGTTACTAAACAAAAAATTTGTTTGGGGGGGGGGGGGGGGGGGAGAGGTGAAGAGGAGGAGGAGAAGAAATGGAGGAAATGCATCCAGAAGCACAACTTGTTTCTTGTTATTGTCGGGTTTTATGGGTGACTAATGTATTGCCTCAGCCGGGGGCGGAGCTAGAAGTCCGACTATGGTTTTCGGCCGAACCCAATAGCTTTTTCTCAAACAGTGTATTTGTGCTAAAAAAATCACTAAAATTTTTCAAGTATTAGTTTAGACCCCAATTATTGGTATTTAAAGAATTCGTTCTAAAATCCGGAACCCATAATGTTAAAATTCTGGCTCTGCCTCTGGTATGAGTATCATTTATTTGCAAATTGCAAAGAAGGTTACATTTGGTTGTGTTTCAAAGATCAGCAATAGTACTTTTGGAAAGGCTTCTATTTTTGTTTTATAATGGAGCTTTGTTTCGGCTGTGAAGATTAGTAGTAGTAATTGTTTTCTTCTGTCTTATTGCAATATAAATGTCGGTTTTTAGGGTTAGATTCAAGAAATGCCAGTGGAAATGGTACCGAGACTAGTAATTCGAATAGCAAGCGCTCATCAGCTTCCATACCACCAACTCCTCGTAGCGAGGGTGAGATCTTGCAATCTTCCAACTTGAGGAGCTACACTTTCAGTGAACTTCGTGCAGCTACTAGAAACTTCCGTCCTGATAGTGTAGTAGGAGAAGGAGGTTTCGGTTCAGTATTCAAAGGGTGGGTCGATGAGCATACTCTTGCAGCATCAAAGCCTGGCACTGGGATTGTGATAGCTGTCAAAAAGTTAAACCAAGAAGGGTGGCAGGGCCACAGGGAATGGCTGGTGAGTCGATTCTTCTACTTCGAGTTGCTCAGCATATGGAATAATGTTTTCAAAAAAACATTTCGTATCTTTGGGAAGTTTGTTGTGCACATTTCCTATCTTGCAAGGTTTATTACTTAAAGATATTTGTTTCTGGACTTCGAAATGTAACCTGGTATACAGATTAGGGGAAAAAGAATCTGATCAATAAAATCTTGATGAATAGGATGACTTGATTTGGATCATGTTGGCAGTTCTAATTTATCATTTGCTACAAATGACTGCAGTTATTAAAAGCAAGGTACTTTATGTTCTGAACCTTTCAAATTTGCAGGCTGAGATAAATTATCTAGGGCAACTACATCATCCAAATCTTGTTAAATTGATCGGTTATTGCTTAGAGGAGGATCACAGGCTCTTGGTCTACGAGTTCATGCCTAAGGGTAGCATGGAGAATCATCTATTTAGGAGTGAGTTCTGCATCTGTTTAATTTTATATACTTCCACCTGTGTAATTATTTAACGTTCACCTGAACAAGCTTCTGGAATTTTATTTGACTCAGGAGGTTCATACTATCAACCACTTTCTTGGAGCCTTCGTATGAAAGTTGCGCTAGGCGCTGCAAGGGGCCTTGCATTTCTTCATAATGCTGAAACAAAAGTTATCTATAGAGACTTCAAGACTTCTAATATTTTGCTCGACTCGGTATATGAATATCATTTCAAAATGTCACATCTTTAGACTGTCTGTCCTCTTAAAGCATGTGTTGTTGAAGCCTCATGTTTTTTGATTTTGTTTTTGTTGCACTCAATTTTCCGTTTTACATCGACAGGACTACAATGCCAAGCTTTCTGATTTTGGGTTGGCCAGAGATGGTCCGACTGGTGATCAGAGCCATGTGTCTACTAGGGTTATGGGAACTTATGGATATGCTGCTCCAGAGTATCTATCTACAGGTTTGTCTCCATGCTTTCCAAGTTCATTAATTATGGTACTATTTAGTTCCTTTTACGCAGCTCAGTTTCTACTGTGGATGATCTTCTACATTCGTGTCTACTCATTTCGTCCTGTTTACTGTATCTGGATTCGGAGTTCATTTGAAATTGACGAGAATATTATAACGGATGAACAGTTTCTCTTAATAAATTTAATTTAGTTTGAATTGAATGAACTGCACTTACATTTTCTTTCACCTAATAAATGTGTATAAAAACGTTCATGTTTGAAAAAATACAATCTTGGACAACGTTGTTTCCATCTTCATAAGCAGTCACAGATTGGTACTTTTCATAACTCGACCACATTCTGAGCTGATTAATTTTCTCTTTGTTTGGAAGGTCATCTTACTGCAAAGAGTGATGTATACAGCTTTGGGGTAGTTCTGTTAGAAATTCTATCCGGTAAGAAAGCAATAGACAAGAATCGACCCACAGGGGAACATAATCTTGTCGAGTGGGCAAAACCTTATTTGACCAACAAACGTAGAGTTTTCCGTGTTCTAGACAGCCGTCTTGAAGGACAATATTTACTCAATCGTGCCATAAAGGTTGCTAACCTCGCTGTTCAATGCCTGTCAATGGACCCAAAGTCGAGGCCAACAATGGATGAAGTAGTAACAGCTCTAGAACAGCTTCAGGAGTCCAAAGATGTAGCGAAAAATGATAAAAAAGGTCGACAGGTAAGTCAGCAGAGCCAATCAAGTTTTGCACTCAAGAAATCCTGCAGAAGCGGCGCGGAAGAGACCCCGGGAAAGGCAAAGTATCCAAGACCTACACCTTCACTTCTTTCCACATAAAAGGAGGAAAGGAAGTTCTTGGTATGCTAATTACTAGCATTCTTTAGTTCAAGAACTTCTGGCATATAACTAGGAAAATGTCTTCCACTAATATGTACAGCTTGTCTTTACTCTTTTTTTGGATAATGGTTGAACTATAGATTTATGAGGGGCTAGCTGTAGGAGGAATTGCAAGCAGAGTGTTTGTTTTTCCTTGGAAGCACAATATTTGCTGTAAATTCCCGGATTCGGTTACTCTTATTTGTTTAGTGTATGTTAATCAGCAGGGAACCTTGATTCTAGGTATTTAGTTTATTCGAAGCTTAGCTACAATGTTAGTAAAAAAGGCAGCCGGTGCAAGAAGCATCCCGCATTTACGTAGGATCCGGGGAAGGGCTGCACCCCAGTGGGTGTGATGTGGGCAGCCTACCTTGATGCAAATATCTATAGCTAATTCTACGGCTCCAACCCGTGACCTATAGTTCATATGGAGACAACTTTAGATACAATGTTAATATCTTGTTTAAGATCTTGTTATTTAATTCCTCCTGTATTTTGTATCATGGTCCTTGAAAAGGAGATGGAGGGTTATAGTAAACGGTATAACAGGAAAATATTAAATCAATACTAAAAAATTCCAACAGAATTTAGCACTTTTTGGATGGAAGAATTGTTGGTACTTAAAATGATTAAGGGCCGCCTGATCCCAAATTCTACTATGCGCGGAGTTTGGGGAAGAACCGGACCAAGCTAAGGGTACTTAAAATGATTAGTATTTACAAATGTACCAAACATATGACATAACGCAGAAGGAATATGAGCTTGCAAAATACTTAAAGGGACAATTTGTGATATTCATAGACAATATATAATTCCATTACACAGAAGTTATTAGTAGTAATTGCAAATATAATAGAGCTGCGGGCTACAATTTTGTCCTAATTTTGATCTTTCTGCAGCCGCATCAGCATCTATATATCTCATTTCACCTTTTGGCTGGCTTTAACTTTCTTATACATCATCACTAAAATGTAAAACGAAACTGCTTTCCCCTATACCTAAAATTTCTCCCGTTAAAAATGAGAAAAATTGGAGGTGGGGAAAATGGTATACTTAGTATATGAAACTAAAGAAAAGTAATTTTTTTTTCTTTTTTGTAAATGATAGTATTCGGATCAATATTTTAAGTTAAACTCGGAAATTTTTGGCCTCATAAGTCTGACCAAACTGCCAATTAGATGGTGCCACGTTGTATGTGGTAACATAGCGATGGTCACTGGCTTTGACTTTAAAGGAGAGAGCTTGACCAACAAGCTGAGCATTGGATTGCCAGTTTTGGCCCCAATTACGACTCATAGCCATCCATTTTGTGTTTGTACCTTTGACGAAAACTTTCTGAATGTCACCTGCACCTGCCACGTTCGTCACTATTACCATGTTGAAGTAATTAAAACCATTGATTGTGAATCTGATTCCTCCTGATTTTTTGCATGGAACCCTGTTATTTGACCAAAATAATTAGGAAAATTGTTAGTGGAGAATTTTAACTACAAAATGCTCAACTTTTAGGCAACATTAAGAGCAAAAAAATATATATTATATATTCGAGCTCATTGGAGACAACTTAGAGCAATGGTAAAGTTGTCTCCGTGCGACCTATAGGTCACGGATTCTAGCCGTGGAAGCACTACATCACACCCTGTGGGTGGAGCCCTTCCTCGGACATGCGTGAATGCAGGATGCTTTGTGTAGCAGACTACTCTTTTTATTCGAGCTCGATGAATGCATCATATCATATTAATTTTTCATATTTAAATGGTGAAGTGAGATAAAATACGTATATTATAATTAACTACAACTAATTGAATAAATTTATACAAGAAAAGCGCATCAAATTTATCGTACTAAAACCGCGTCTATTAATTGGGCAAATTTAATTACCTGCAAGATGTAGCTGTAGCATGTGGATAGGAGACAAAACTATAACGAGGTGTGAATTTAAAATGTTTAAATAATACTATTGTTATTCTATTTAGTCTTTTGCAGTGATAGTTAATACTAATATAAACACTATAATTACAGATATAATTTTAATTTAAAATCAGTGAGCGAGTCCAAGTCCCAACTCTTAAGTCTAACTTAAGCCAACCCACTACGTAAGAGAACTCGACGCTAAAGTAGTCATTTCCTCTAAAATGGAAAGCTATTACCCGTAAGAGGGAAAACTAGCAGTGTAACACCAAAATATCCAGTTAGCTATGGTTAGTTAAAAGACAGGAAAACCCTTAACAGATTACATTACGTAAAAGAAAATTTCTTGAAAATAGGACAATTTATCCCCATGATAAAGACATACTATTTTCTTATTAAATAAAATGACGTCTTCCTAAATTTAAAAATTATTTAACTTGAAATTCATATTGTACGCTTAATAACACGTGTTTGTTTGATTGTATCCACAAGGACATACTTAAAACAATAAGTTTTTAAAGCATTATACCCAAATAAATATTACAACATATTTAGGATGTAAGTTTGACAGTGCAACTTACCGACGGTAGGTTACGGGGACAATGCCAGCACGATACTGAGCAAATTTGAGGAACATAGGCTCGGCAAGATCGAAATGAGGACGAGGTGGGTTGCACCACCCCCCGTTGTCATTTGGCAAAGCATAGTTTGGTGGACAAAAGTTTGTACCCGTTACAAATATGGACGGGTTCCCAGGGGTGCACCATTTCGGATCGGTGCACCTTATCTCAAAGCAAGCACCACAGCTCAGCCCATTGTTGAAAAGTGCAGTGCTTAGTGCTGCATTGTTCACTCCGTATCCTGCGCTGTACAAATTCCCGTACCCACACGCACCACCTGTTTCGGAAAGAAAAAAGTATTTTTACACAAATAGCCAGTCATATTTATAGTAATATTTACGTTGAAAAATCAACCCAAATAGCCGCACACTTAATCTCTTAAAATAAAAATAGCCAGTTGATGTATAATATGTGTACGATTGTATATAATCAATGCATAATCTATGTGTACCGACTAGAAAAAGTAAACAGTGAATCTGACTGGCTATTTGTATAACAAACTTCTAGCTGATGTATATGGATTATACATAATTCTACACATATTATACTTGATTTTTTTTTTATGTATTATAAGCCGATGTATATGGATTATACACTGATTATATATAGTTATACACATCTTATACCTGAATTGTTTATATATTATACATCCATCGACTATGTTAAGTTTAAACAATTGGGTTGACGGCTATTTAGGTTAATTCTTCAAGAAAAAATAGTACAAGTATAAGTTTTTTATGCACAACGTGTAAATCGGATTACCTAAAAAATAATTATAGATACGTACCCATGGTGCCAGAGGCATCCTCGCCACCGTAGAAGGTGGCGTGGGCGCTCTGCCAGGGTCCACCGGTGTAAACACCGGGGACCTTTGCGTTGGCGGCCGTCAAAAGAGAGAGAAGACTAGCAATGCAAAGCGTCCAAATTATAGCCATTTTTTCTCACTGTCACTGCTCTAGACTGAAGTGTTATATCTGTGTGAACAGAGAGAAGAAAAAAGAGAGAGGGGGATTTGAGAAGGAAATGGAGAAATGTGATTAGGGTTTTAGGCGCCAATGGAGAGTAGGGAAGAAGTTGGGAGGTACTTATTGAGAGAGGGTCTTAAGGAAGTAGACACAAGTGCATGGCTTATAATTAATGCGTTAATTTTTGTAATTAAAGTAAGTATAATTAAAAATCTTTTTATGTCAGAAACGTAGAGTAGCAATATTTATCATGACTTACTCCATAAGCATAAAGGGCGGGGTATGAGGAGGAAGTTAAGAAGGAAAATACTACTGTGTGCTACAAGTATACATGTGAGTTGAACGTGGTGGTGAGGATATCAAAGCTTATGGCACATGGCAATATTGGTAATGATTTAAGCTTAGGTTTATGGCAAAGTCCAAAAATTAGACGAATTGTAGAACATCTTGATTCTATATTTCTATGGTAGCAAAGGGTTCTATAGATATATAGTAGTATATGTTAAGCTAGGGACTCTAGTTAAAAGTTGTTTGTTGCTTTGGCTGTGAATTTAGAACAAGTTGTTACAAGGTTAGCTGGGACAATTGGGCATTATTAAAAGAGTATAATAGTAGTAGCTTGTTTCATTAAATCGACTTACTACTTTTGTCATCCAATGGCACTTACCTTTGACCACTCACACAAAATTACTCTCCGGACCACAATAAGTGACCAATTTGCTTTGGGCACGTCCATTAAGAAAATACTAAATTCTACACAAAAATATCTAGTATGACTAAACTACCCTTAATTAAATATTGCAGTATAATTTAATGTGAGAAATAAAAGACTTTTTAGGGAAACGTACATCAGGGTAATTCTGAAAAAATAAATTGAATTTTTTCTTGATTATATAAATGAACACTTATTTTGGACCAAAATAAAAAAACAAATTGGTCACTTATTATGGACAGGAGAGTAACAAGAGAATGACTAAATGAGAATATATGCAATGGAAAGTGAAATGGGGTTCTCAAGATTTTGAGCCTCCAATAATCTAAGGACTACTTCAAGGCCAAGATTAAAAAAAAAGGTGGACAAACATGGGGAAAGGTTCTATTCTGGTGCACTGAGCAGAATAACGCAAATTTGGGTGAAGAATTCCTTTGAGTTCCACTTATAGGTCCTTCTTTTTGAATTATAATAAAAAGTAGAGTCTAGATTTTAATCTTATAGGTTCTGGATTTTAGGACATTAACGACTTTAAGTACTAATTAATGATTGAATTCTAAATTTAATTTTTGCACATATTTATAAATATCTTAAATACAAAATATCCTATTTGAGCAAAAGTTATTGAATTACTGAACTTGAAGCTAGGCTTTCAATCTCCGCCCCTAACTTCTTGCGTACTAAAGGGTTGTTTTCCCGGGTGTTTCTGCTCCAACTACTAAATGCTATTTAGGAAGTGCCGGAAAAGATAATCATGAAGGTGTAAAAATTTATTCATAACGAATAAGTTTCTACAAGTTTCATTTTTTCATTCTTCGACATCTCATCCCATAGCATGTCAAAGAGAGTCATAAAAATAGTTGCTAAGGTTGTTAATGTTAGATTAGTTAGTGTTTGATGAGAGTATTTGAGAAGAGGTTCTTTTGTCCCTCATTGGAAAAAGAAAGAAAGGAAGATGTGTTTAAAAACACTTCTTTATCTTATATAGTTTGAATATTTTTAGGGTGTTTTGGAGGAAAATTGAAATTTGCCTATATTAT